TCAGCCGTGCGCACGGAGGTGAGAACAAGTTCTCCAAAAACGACATCATTCGTGCGGAATTGGAGGTTCTGCAGGTCCGCTGGACACGTGCTGGCCAGTCTTCACTTACGCCAATTTACGCATGAACGTGTGATTCCAGGCCCTCGGCTTTGATGTGGTGTCGGGCTGAGCACGAACTCCCGACCACCAAGAGGGGTTTCCTAGGATTGTCAGGGCAGCTGACTGAGAACGAGGCCGCCCACTCGCCACTGGACTTCCTGGAAAGCTTCCTGTTCTCCGTGGAGAGGCCTCTTGTGGAGAAGCCTTGATGTCCTAGCTTGGTGTCAAGAAGAAGACCCATTCCACAAAGCTCATCGACGAGAATTATCTTCCACCTGTCGAATTGGAACTTGCAAGTACTAGTAGCGAACTAACCAAACTGCAACTAACTAGTGAACTACTGGTAGCTTCTTGCACCTGAGAGGCCTAGGCCGAATGGCACATCGGCAGCCGGGAGCTCGTTGCCCTGAGCGCAGTGACCCGCAACCGCAACGCGCTCTGTGATTGCCGAAGTCAGAAGCTTTTTGCACTGAGTTGGTGTGCATGGCGACATTTTTGCTGCAGCTCTCTCTGGGTGATGCCAACTTACTTCACAGGCCAGGTCTCCCGCGGAGTCTGTCAGGGCATCTCTGGGTGCCGTCAGGTATCCGTACGCTGCCCTTGCTGCTGGAGCCGTCTATGTGGGTCTTTGGTGTACGCAGGCCTGGCCTTCTCAGCTCCTCTGCAGTCTTGGCCACCCGAGCCTGCTGTCCTTCGGGCAGGCGAGCTCTGAGCGCTGCCAGCTCCTGCTGCAAGATGTGAGGGGCTCAAAAAATTCGTGGACTGACACGTGATAGCTACTGCCGTCCCCAATACACTAATTCAGTCATTCTACCGCAGATTTATTCTTACTTACTCATACCAGCGCGACACTTCCCCTGCTGTCCGGAAGTCTTCGAGGCCCGAGAGGCCTTGCGGGAGCCTTACGGGGAGGGGCCCGGCCCGGGCGCGGAAGGGACCTCTGGGAGCCGAGAAATGTCGCGTCTCAGCGTCTCAGGTCTCCGAAGCCGCAACCGGCAGCCAGGATCCCTGAAATGGGAGTTTGCGAGAATAAGGGGTACCCTGTTTTGGGGGTCCTTATAATAAGGATCCTACTATTTCATCTGAGTATGAAAGAGAGGGGAGCTCACGAGATTTGAGGCCATGGACATGGTGCCGGAAGGCCTCGGCTTAGACCACGTCCTTTTTTGAGTCGCTGTGCCATGCTGTGCCCATGCTGTCGCAGATGAAATCTTCACAGACTTCGATTTCGCCATCTGCGAGGTGTGAAGCTAGCAGGCGCGATGCCCTCTGCAACAGTTCGGTTTCGCGGTACTAGCGGAAGAGCTCGTCTCTGCAGGCTGTCGAGAAGGTCCCCTGAAGCTCGTCTTCGGCTGCTGTTCCTGACCTATCTCCAGCCTATCCGCGTTGGTCCGACTGGACCGTTTTCGGATGGACAACAAATGTCCACCTGCACGTAGGATGGGATCGCAGATTACGGCAAGGCTGATAGCACGAAAGGAGCATCCCATCATTGCGTGTTGCATCTCAGTTCCTAATCTGGAAGCACAGATTGAAATTCAAGCGATTCAAGTGCAGCTTGAGCCGACTGCAAAGCTGGCTTGTCCGGAGATCTGAACGCAGAGCCGGTGAAGCTCCAGGGCAGGCCCAATTCGCTACCCGCTCGCTGCTCATTTGGACCAGTGTCAACAAGGTGAGGTAGAGTCTATACTGGGTACCTTGGCAGGAATCTTGATGATCTTCCGAAATGTGCAGCAACCACAGACGTTGACTGGTTCGTGTGGATAGCTTCGCGTGCTGAAGTGTCGATGCAGTGTGTGCCAGCTCAACGCAGTGATCTGCCCTACGACCCGTCCTTGTCATCGACTGGCATTGTGTCTTGAAAGAGAGTAGTCGGCCTAGCATTTCGACGTCACGTGCGCAGCTGAGCAACCTTGCGTCAGTTTAGATATGGAGATGGCCGAGCTTAGCAGACTGACTTGCATAGGAGGTTTCAGAGAGAGGCGTGTATGTATGGATGCATGCATGTAGCAACTTTGGCACGTGTGCGTGTATGTGCGTAGGTCCATGATTCGGTGTCTATATGTTGATGCAATCGATTTGGCCTTGGCCCTCCAACATGTGAGTCGCGAGTAGTGCCATCTCGGCAAATTCATAGACGGCTGTGTGTAATACGCATGCCGTGCAGGCCCTAATTCGTTCAGGGGTCGGGGGTAGATAGTAGTTTGAGGAAGTGTGCTGCGTGTAACTGCTAACCGTTCAGGATTCCATGAATCGAGTCCGGATTTCCGGGGCTATGCTTGCGGCACACTTTCTGTTCTCCCTGCTTCCAGCGCTGGCAGCATGCAGCTCAACTGTCTTGACTTCTATTTCATCTCTTTTGAGTGCTTCAAGTAATTGTCCTTCTAGCCAACAGCAAGTGGTATCTGCACCATGCTGGCTGCATGCGGGGGTGAAGCTGGGATGTTTTTGGAGTCGTCGATCTGTGATCGTGGAGACTGCAGAGCCCCTTGAGACTGCTTTGGGTTTGGCCTGCAGCTCGACTTGCGGACTGTGCTGCAAGCACCGCAGCATGTGACGTGAGTCAGATGTGACGTTTCCAGACCAAGTGCAGGCAGGGAAACCTGTCCTGTGCATGGCGTTTGCTCAGTCTCCTATGACTGACTTAAACTCTATGATGCTACTATGATGGGAGTTTGATGAGTCGACTCAGTCGATCGGCCAGGGAACTGCACCGGCTCGACATGACGGTCTGTTTAGCTTGCGAAATTGTCAGCACATTTCGGCGTTGGTGCGTGTCGAGGGAGCTGCAGGATCCCCGCAAGCCTAGCGGCCATTCTTGGTGCCCTCGAGGCTCTGAGGCTTACAAAAAGGATTGGAGACCGACAGCGTGGTCCGTCACGTTAGTTCGAAAATGTTGATGTGCTCTGACGATACAGTTTCACGTTTAAACCACGAGACTTACACGGAGGACTTGAAGGACGACATCAGATGCCACACCGCAGACGGAGGCTCGAGCAAAGCCGCTCCAGTGCGTTGTGTGGTCATGGGCGGCATCTGACGTGGTCCTGTCGCGAGCGTTTGGCAGAGGAGCGGCAGGGCGGCCATCAAGGCCAGAAGTCCGCCAAGTAAGGAGGAGGTTCGCAGAGCGTGAGAAGCCGAAGACGCAGGAGGAGACGGGCGGAGGCGGTTGAAGTAAGCAAATTTCTCCAGGCCATGCAGGGGACTCCGCCGCCATAGCGTAGTGGTAGAACGTATGCCCCTAAGGCGGCGGAGCCCACTACATCGACTGCAAGTGGGCCAAGGCACCCAAGAAGGCAGAGAAACCGGAGAGCGACCCGGACGAGGCGTTGAAGCTGGCAAGGGGACAGACTAGCCGAAAGAGCGGCCGAACAGAGATCCCAAAGAAGGAGCTGGCGACCTGAAGCACTCACCGGGCTGGCTCCCCCGGGCTGCGTCTTGATTTCTTCAATCCCTCGTGCTTGACGTAGACGTTATGCAGCCGCCCAACCCTGAACGTTGTGGCTGCAGGGCCTGCAGGCCGCCCGGTCTCGAATGTTTACGTCAAGGGCAGGTGGGGGAGCGGCCCAACTGCACCGGAGGGAGGGAGCCAACGGACCCTTGTGCTGGGTGACGTGACAGAACATTGCACCAACTATGCAGGAGTGAAAAGATGGCGCTTGTGGAGGACCAGCGAAGCGTGCTGGACGGTTCTTGGCCGAGCACGTGCACAGACGATGGAGCCCATGGGAGGCTGGGCACAAAGGCACGCGAAGCGGTGTAGCTGCACCAGTGAGGCCCTTCGACAGCAGGTTCCATGCTGCCCAAGACTGAACATGCGTGCTAAAGATGGCATTACTGGTGGCACGTTTGTCCGGATTAGCGGAAGACGGTGGAAGGTGGCTCCACTAGCAACCTTCGACCATGGCGTGGCCTAATCCTTGGGATTGTGCTGCTACAGCCCCTGCTCCCCGTGGCTAGTCTAGTCAAGTCTAAGCTACAACCGACTGGCAGCAGCGACGAGTCCGAGTGCAGTCGGAGTATAGAAGAGCGATCGGAAGCATCGCTGCAGTTTCACTATTTTTGAACATTCACGACCGAGCAGGGCCCAGGCCCAGGCCCAGGTCCAGGCAGAGTCCCGAAGACTCGGTGCACGGTGCCTGAGCCTACCCTCCAGACTCAGATGTGAAAGCAAAGTCGTTTCGTTTGCTGGAAGTCTTGTGGCTTCGGAACCTGCGGAGAAGTTAGGCAAACTCCTTAAAGCCATGGTTTCGGATCGGTCTCGCTAGGAGCTGACGTTCCGAGCGGCCTGGCTGGACTCCGGGCTGCCGTTCTCTCGAGCCTTGGTTGCGCGATGCAGCGAAGGGAGACTATTAAACATAAGAGAAGTGTAGCATAATATACCCCAAAGCCATCGTCTAATTATTAAGGCGATCTGAAAAGGAGTCTCACCGATTGCACCAGCTGAGTGCACAATTGACCTGAGGACAGATCTGTCTCGTTTACGATGATGTTTTGGCCAAAGCGCCGACTCTCCACGCGCTCCTGGAACACCTGGCGGAGGTCCAAGAGCTCTGTTGATGTTAAACATATTGGCGGAAAGTTATTTTTCCCAATGTGTTTGTTGTTGCCTGGGGCATGTGGCTGGTACAGCTGGCAGTGTCTGAAGTGGCAATGGCAGGTCTTTGGCGTTCGGCCAGTCCTGGGCTTACGGCTTGCTCTGAGCGGCGGGTACTCGTACAGTCAAATATGTTGCAATCTGTTGCAGGGGACCGTGTGCATAAGGTGTGAGGCTCCATGGCCCGTGCTGCCGACATCTGTAGTCTCAAGGCCTTGTGGAGACTTGTCCAGGACCTCCCTTGTGATGAAGATGACAACTGTGGCGAAGAAGTCTGAGCAGTGGAGACACCGGGGAAGGTATCATGAGTGTCCTCCAGTGTCTTGATGACTGGCTGATTTGGCGAATCGTCAGTGCCGTCGATCCCAGAGACTGGCAGCTCCTGTCGACCACTTGCCGGTCCGTCTGCAACTTCGTGCTGGCCTTTCTTCGTGGTCTGCCTATTCTGGACCTGTCAGGCATCGGCAACGTCAATCTGAAGCAACTGGTATGTGCTTGCCCAAACCTTGAGGAGCTGTGCTTGAACACCCTGCTGATTCGAAGCCGATCCCTGACGTATCTGTCGAGCCTATCGAAGCTGCAAGAGTTGCAGCTGCGCGAGTGTCCGCTTCTGACGGATGCGGCACTGCACTCGATCTTCAGCGGCCTGGAGCTTCAAGTGCTGGATGTAAGCTGGGCAGCCGAGTTCAGCGATGCACCCTGGGGCAATGCGCCAGCATCGTTGCGTGAGTTTCGCGGGGTTGGTTGTGAACATCTGACAGAGAGGGTAGTGGTACATCTCTCAAAGAGGTGTCCGCATCTCACAGTGCTCCACTCCTCTCGCCATATCAATTGGATCGGAGCGGCACGTCCAGAGCTGTTGGCTTCCCTGGTTGACATGCAACATCTGCAAGACGTCGCTTTTCAAGACATACCGCTGGATGATGACCTCCTCTACACACTGGCTTGCTTGCCCTCCTTGTCCAGGCTTGAACTCTGGTCGTACAACAGCGATCAGTACATCACCGATGCTGGCGTGATATGCCTCGCTGAACACCTCCGCAAGTCTCTCACCAAGTTGAGCTTGGACTCCTTCGTCTTCCATGGGACAGGGGTTCTGGCTGCGCTGTCAAGCTGCTCGCTCCAAGAGCTCCTGCTGGAGGGTACTTCGCAGTGCCACATGGGTTGCATCGACGGCGTGGAGCTTCCACCCAGCCTGGTGAAGCTGCGGCTGGCAAATTGTGGCTTGGCCGGGGTCATGGACCTCTCTCGTGCAGCTGCACTCGAGTACCTTTGGCTTTTCGACAACCCCGGACTTCAGGGAGTGCAGGGGGCTGGGCAGCAGCTGAAGACCTTGAACCTGGGATCCACCGGTTGCAGAAGCATCGAAGGCTTTCGTTTCGATGGCTTGGATCTTCTGGATGTTTCTTCCACCTTGATTTCGGAAAGAGTTTTCGAGGCCGTCCTGCTGGCAGCTCCCCTGATCACTCGAGCGGTTCTCGGAAGCAACGTTCTCCCGCTGCCCTTGCTGATGGCCTTCTTGCAACAGGCAACACACCTCAGGAATTTAAGCCTTGTCGGTGCCGAGGGAAGTGGGCTCGCTACTCTGGCCAGCTTTCTGTGGGAAACTCGTTCGAACAGCTCTGGCGTAGCTTCGGGGCTGGAACTACTGGAGATCTCGGAGGATTCGTGTGCCATGTTGGCCGAATGGCTTACTATGGAGCTGGATCACATGGTGCTCAAGAGAAGCAGCAAAGACATCCGTATATGGATCATCGAGCAGCACGAGCACAGCAGTCCATATGGCAGGATTGATGGGGCTGATGACTCCTGGCTACCAGCATCCGTCCCAGCATAGCTCGAGTGGCCCAAGGCCACAAGAGCCAGTCCCGGTGCAAAAACATCAAAAACCCAGATCGAGTGCTCCGGCGATCAGCGACCGGTCCTCCGAAGCTCTCTGCCCTGCTCTGCTCTGCGAGGTGAGCTGCATGGCCAGTTTGTGCCCTTCAGGCCTTCGGGTGTCTGGTCCTGGACTCAACCGCTACCGAGAGAGGTACAGACATGGCGGCGACTTCTGCAACTTGCACTTCGACGAGCTCCGAACTTAGGCGAGAGAAGTGAGAGCAAGAGAGGGAGGCGGCGAAGCAGCATGTTCGTTGAAAGGTCTGCAGTGTCTCATGGGCAGCTGCAGGTACTCCATTGCTGACGGCAAGATAGACTTCAGCTTTGGATTCACGTTTGGGGAGGCAGGTCGAATCCTGGACGGACCAAGAAGGGCTTCGGCTTCTTGTGCGCCGAGCACCTGTGCAGCTGCGCAAGGATCGCCAGCTCGTTTTCGAGCACCGTGAAGGCCACAAGGCGACAGCCCTTGCTGGTCATGAAAAGGCTGCCCACGCGGTCGTGTTCACAGGTGCAGTTCGCTCTTCCGCAGCGGAATGGCGACGTCCATGCTTTTGGCGAGGCAGCATGGCAAGTGCTCGTAGTTATGACTGCGATAGCTGGCGACCCGAAGGGAACCAATGGCCGCTGGCGGCACGGAGTCTTAGCCTTACCTGTCCTTGATGCGTGCAACTTGCAAAGAAGCTGCGTGGAGGAATCATGTAACTAGTGGACTACCTTGATACAGGACCCTTGATCAGAGAAGCCCTGACAGACCGCCTTGGACCTCGAAGGTTCCACCCTCCCTGGAGTGCAATGGCCCGAGCATCTGCGTCAATGTTTGGGGATCCCGAGGCTCGTTGTCGAACGCTCGGAAGACACTCCCCGTAGCTCGATTGCTGCAGGCCACGAGGAGTTCGACATGCCCGTCTCCCTCAGAGGCCGCTGTTGTGGCTGGTGGGTTTTGGCTCTCCCTCTTTGGGGCATTTTATCAGGTCGGTTTCCTCGGATACAATTTCAAGATCCAGCTGCCGCTTCGCATCCCCGCGAGTGCGAGGCGTGAGTAGAAAGTCTGAGAGCCTGCTGAGCCTTGCATGGCAAGTGTACTGAGTGCGAAAGGCCTGTCATCGCATGGCTGAGCTGCAGGGTCTTCACCCGAGCACATCTGAATGGCATGGCGAACTCTAGAATCTCTCTTGCGATGTTTCCAAAGGTGGCTTGAAAGACTTGGATGGCCGCTGGAGTTGCCGGAGCTGCCAGGGCCAGGGTGACCCGGCCCTGGGCCTTAGCTGGCGACCGGCTTCGGCGAAGTCCCCCAATGAGGCGACGGACTGCCTCACGGTGAAAGGTGCGCAACTGGCCTTGGCCATCTTGGCTGGACGCCGGAATTATCTCTTTCGCAGGGCAAAGTTCCCTGATGGGTGGCACCTACCCCATGCACCAGCAGTCTTTGGCGTCTTTCTGTTAGCGTTTGCAACGGTCCTCATGTGACTGCAGTGAGAACCTGAACTAAGGTACGCCCTTCACGTCGCCAAGGAGTATCCAGATCCAGAGAGTTCCGAAACTCTCCAGCTTCAAGGAGAGTGGCCGTCAGCCCCGGCGGAAGAAGACCTGCCGCACGAGGCTTTCGTTGGCCTGCTCTATGTGAGAGCTAAAGGCTTCGCGGCGAAAAGCGTGGACTGGAAAGGGGCTTTCCGGAAGTACTATGTTGCCAAGACGGTGGCATTGCAGGATCCGCGATTGCAGCAATGCAGGGCTTCTCATGCATTGAAACTCTAGGGACTCAAAAGCCCTGAGTGTGTGCGGCGTGGACTTGATCTGAACAGCTCGTGGCGGGGTATCAGTTTGCGTTTTGGGAAGTCCACTGCACGCACGAGCCAGATGTTGACAACCGTAAATAAAGTCAGTTGCCGGTGCTGTCGTCTCCGCCAGTCAGTGCAGAGTTTTGCCTCTGGTAACGGCTTTTCGAAGGGTTGTACAGGTTAAGGTCGCGGCATTGCTTAGCCATGTCTCTCTCGTGTCCAAAAAGCGTGGCTTGCAAGGACCCCTTGCCAGCTCGTTCTCCGGGAATACCGGAAGAGCCGTGGAGGCTGAGCCCCATAGCCCGACGTGAAGTATCAGAGCTGATCGGGAAGATTTACGAGCCGCTCCACGGCCTTGGACCGGATGTTGCGTTGCTTAGCCGCACGGCTGGCGGCCAGCGCAGTCGAACTCAGGAATGCCAATGCCGAAAGTTCATGGACGCACGAGCCGTCCTGGCCAGCCGCCTTATCCCAGCCGCCACGGCTCCACGTTGCGGTTGCGGAGCTTCCCTTCTGTCTTTGCAGGTCCAAATGGTCGGCCTGGGACTGGGGCGACTCGTGGGACTGGCACGATCGGGCCTGGAGCGACTGGGCCGACTGGGGCTCTGGCCTCGGCTCTCAGCCTCAGCCTGCAGTAAGTGCTGTCCGACTTGGCGAGGCTGGAGGTGGAGTCGGGACAGCTGGCAGGCAGCTATGAGTTTGCATGGCGGACGCTGCATTTGCACATCCTCGTGGTTCCGTCCAAACTCACGCTGCATGCACTGGGATCCGCAGTCTTTGGCCCCGAGCTTGTGTGTGGACTCACACCACCTGGTTTCCAACATCATCCAGGTGCGGATATGCTGTTTCTCCATATACATATGGCAGGACTGCAAACTTGCGGAAGCTCTCGTGATATCGTCTCGAGGATGGCTCGTCGCAGCGCATTCGGCCGTGCAGTGTTGCTCGTGGGAGCTCTGGCTCTGGTGAGGCTTGCGGCGGCTTCGCTTCTGAGCCCAGGCCCTCTGCTCTGCTCTGCTCCGCAGGACGCTCTTTGGATCCACCGCCTTCACGGGCATGACTGGCAAGAACATCTCTTCAGGCGCTTCGCTTCTTGGAGAGACGGCCTCATGGCACGAGTTCCGCTGTTGAAGGACCCCAGTGCCAGATCGTGGTGGCTAGGAAGGCCCGGAGCCAGAGCCCGGGGCGAAACGGGATTTCGATGGGTCCGTTTCTTCCCTGAACAGGTGAGCGAGGGTGACTCGCTCCCATCGGTGGACGTGGATGTTAGCAAGCTCGGGCCCTGGTCCTTTCGGATTTGCAGACAGATGAGTCTTCCATGAGTAGAGGGTCTCGATGTGAAGGATGTTAGCAAGCCGCGCCGGCATGACTCCACGTGTGCATATTGCAATGCAGGCCCGGTGACACGGTGAACGTTGCAGAGCTCTTCAAAGGTCCCTGCAATCGGTCATGTTGAAGAGCATGGTCCAAACATGAAATGCAGGCAAGAAGGGCGTGCTGTTCGCTGTCCCAGGTGCCTTCACGCACAGCTGGCTCGTATTTTGCTTGTGCCAGCCTCCACCGTGCTTCTGTCAGCGGTCGTCGCCACAGGCCAACTTGCTCCGAGAAGCACCTGTCCGATCCTCGTTCCGGTTTCAAGTCCCGTCGTTTCATGTCCGAGCCAAGGCCAGGTTACATTGAGCAGTCAGAAGAGCTGAAGGCGGCAGGCGCTGAGGCCCTGCGAGCCGAGCCGAGTTGCTGGATACGGCTGAAGCTTCACCATAAATTTTCCTGCAAGCTTTACCATGGATTCCAGCCTTTTTTTGCAGCTGTGGGCAGGTCATTGCCTGCGTGGCCGTCAACGACCCCTTTGTGATGAGCTCCTGGGGAAAGCAGCAGGAGGCGCAGCCAGAATGGTAAGAGTCCGGAGGCTTGTAAAGGGTCCACCAACGGGTCATGAGCTGGCACCAATCCTGGTCGACCAAGCTGCTTGTTGCCCCAAAGGGTGAGTGCTGGCGTGGATTTGCATGCTATGGTGTGCAGGCAGTTCACAAGCTGCCATCGTTGTGGATAGCCTGAGATTGACTCTCTTTGCAGGCCGAGGGCAAGGTCACGATGCTTGCTGACACCAAGTGCGAGCTGACGAAGGAGGGGAAACACATTGAGACAGCTCCCAGAAAATGAGAACATGCACACGTCGGGGTCCAAAGGCCCTGGACATGGAGCTGGACGCCACGGCCAAGCTCGGCAACGTTAGGCTCACGAAGACCATGCTGGGACGTGCTCTCTTCGTCTTGGATAGTTTTGGGGCTCGGATCACAGGTCACAGCGATACGCCATGATTGTGGACGCAGAGGGCCTCAGCAGTGTGATTTGCCCCGAGCTTCCTCTCGACGTGTGGACGTGTCGAAAGAAGCCGAGGATGGCAAGATCACCAAGCTGGCCACGGGCGACGACTCGCGGCCGGCTGAGACTCTCTAGGACGATGCCTGATCGGCAGGAGTGTGCCATGATCCTCTGCTTCTGACAGGTCCCAGTACGGACAGATTCACAGTACGGAGAACTCTGGTTGTCAACTTCAAAATTGTCCTAAGGTTCGCACCTGACATCTTGGAAGCCCTCAAGCGCTGAGTAGCTGAGCACACGGCCTCAGTCGTCTGTGCTGCTAGTATACATGTATGTATCTAATTCATACCCCGCTGTTTAGTTCAAAATGTGTTTCCACAACTCAGGACGAGCTTTGCATGTATCATGATGGCGGCATGTGAAAGCTCAACATTGCCTCCCTGTGGAATCAGGTCTCTGCCATTGCGGAGTGGCGACTTCTTGATATGAATTTTCGAGCTGGGTTTCAGTCCTGCAAGTGATGCCGCCGGCCTTCACAAAACGACTCTCCCACATCAGGGACTTTTATGGTACATCACTTGCGGACAACCTCGCACTAAACATGTAACTCTTGAGGACCTCGCACAAGCGTGCGCTATGCAGGGGTCACTCCAGACTCTAGGACCTCGCGACTCGGCGGCTGTGACAAAGTGCATGTCTTTGCTTGCAAGACACAGCCAGTGCCTGGCGGCGTTGAAACACAAGCCAAGTTCTAAACTAAGCATTAAAGAACCCTTTCCGAAGAGGCCTGGGCTCCGTCCCAGGACGCGGTGGATTGGAGCAGTCGCCTCAGCTCTTTCGCTTCTCATGCTGTCTGGACCCCCCCACTAGCCCCCCCACTAGCTGATCTTCGATGAAGGTGCCGGGAGTGCCGAAGGCCAGGGGCACCAAGGATTTTTGTTTGGGAGGTTTGGTCGCATGGATCCTTCCTTTCTGCATGTGCGTTGTCTGCGTCATGCCCGCTGCGATGGGCTCAGACAGGTATCGAACCCTTCCCTACACAGAAATCCCACTTGTAGAATCTGGAATGCCCGCCTTCTGGTGCAACGAAGCTTGAGAGATGCGGTACCAATTCCTCACCGGCTGCCTACTTTTGGTGAGCTCGCAGGATGTGGAGTCTGGTCTTGGAAGCTTTCCGGAGCTCCAAGAGGACATCCTGCTGCTCCAGATGGACGTGAAGCTCTCGCGCGGTCTGGCGCAAACTGTGGATGCCCCGTCGGTTTCGGAGGGCTTCCAGGCAGCTGATTCGGAGAGTCCAGCCCTCCTTTCCGAGAGCTTCAAAAGCGAGGTGGAGGGCGGTGTGATGTTTGGACCGAAGACCAGTGCTGCCCTGTTTTTACTGTCCAGCTGTACCTTTGGACTGCTGTGCTTATGTGGTGCGAAGCCATTCATCACAGCTCCGTGCCTTGTCTTGAACCTCCTCCCCTTGCCCGGCCTTTGAATATCTTCTCGATCTCTTTGGCACAGAAACTGGGGAGTTTCAAGAAATACGGGACCCTTGTAGAGACCCGGAATGGTAGGATATGTGGTATCCTGATCCCGAAAGGGGAACGCCTCGTGCTGTGTTAATCCATGGGCTGAGGTATTCAGAAGTACCTGAAGAGGAGGGAGAAAGCGAGGAGGTCAAAGAGCAGTCGCTCCTGGTGTGCTACACTGTCGTGCCTCAGCATGCTTCATGTTTCAGCAACACACCACTGATTCACAAACCATCGCTTGGATGTTGTAATGCCTTCTGGACAGTTTAAGAAGACGGTTAATAAATAGCTTGTCTGAAGAGGTTTATTGATCAGGGGTCCTCAAAAAAGTGGCTGCCCCACGTAGGCAAGGGTTTAGAAATAGTGGCTGTCTTTCAGGGTCCTTGTATTAAGGATCCTAGTCCTGGTCTTCAGGCTTGAAACTAGGTTCCCTTGTTTGTCTGAACTCCCAAGTGAAGCCCTGTTTTGATGCCTCGTGTCAGGTCTTCATGGACGCCTTTGGCTTCGGCGTCTACGCGCCCTTCATCCCGATCCTTTGCCAGACCTTTAGCTTGCAAGCCCACGACATGGGAACTGCCCTTGCGACTTGGATGACGGCTTTAGCAAAAGCTGTGTGGTTACTGTTGCAGACAAAAGGACAGGAATCATGTTGGCAGTAGCAGTATCACGGTCACCAGCAGCAGCAAATAAGAATGAAGGACCGAGCAGGCGAATTCATAGTCAGTAGTGGTACTGCAAGAGCAAAAAATACCATGTGCTGCAGCACATCATGTCATCATCATCATCATCATCACCACCACCATCATCATCATCCTCATCATCATCATCCTCATCATCATCATCATCATCGTCATCATCGTCATCATCGTCATTATCATCATCATCATCACCATCATCATCATCATCATCATCATCACCGTCATCATCATCATCGTCATCGTAATCATCTTCATCATGTTCCTCCTCCTCCTCATCATCATCGTTCCTTTTGCTCATCATTCTTGACATTGTCTTCGTCATCGTCAGGAAGGGTGTGTGTGTGTATGTATGTATGTATGTATGTATGTATGTATGTATGTATGTATATATATATATACATTCACACATGCGTATATGGAGTTTACAGTTTACTGGTGTCCGGCAGACACGTTGGAGTCAGCCTTAGCTTGAATTTCCTTCCAAGGCAGCCTTCTCCTTGGCACAGGCACTGGCAACGCCCTTCTTGGGATACCTCTCAGATCGCTTTGGACGACGGCCAGTGACTTGGCCTACCTTCCGAGTTCCCAATAGTCCGACCGCCCGACCGGTCGACGTATTTCTGTGCCTACCTACGGCCTGTATAGGCTACTGGTGCTACTGCTGCTACTGCTGCTTTTACACTGCTGCCGCCGCTGATGCTACTGTGACTGCGACGACCGCGACGACTACGACTACAACTGCTACAGTGACCACAACGATGACGAACGGCCCCCACGGCAACGAAAACGACGAAGCTGCCAATTTTTGTACTCGTGTTGCTTTCCTGCCGAAGCAGCTGCCAGGTACTTTTAGCTGCTCTGGCCGCGGAGTCTCTAGAATCTCGGCATAAGTCGGAAGGATTGCATTGTGCGGTGCTTCGCACAGACTTAAGGCTTACCTCATCCTCAGCATAGCCGAGAGTTTCAGCTGCCTCCTGGTGGGCTACACCCTGGCTGGCGCATCCTGTGGCACCATAGGCGGGATGCCTGAGCCTCATCACACAGGGATTTGAAGATCTTGACAGATTGCACTCAGGTGTGTGCAATGCGTACATTGCGCAGAATTCATCCGAGGAGGACCGGGCTTCACCGCAAGTTTTATAAACGCTCACGCGTTATGTACGTCAGTCGCCGAACAGATCCACCGTTGCGCGTGGGCTTTGGCTCAAGCATGACAAACCCCAGGCCCTTTCACGGACCTTCGTCTGGTGATTCTTCGTATATGTTGCGAGTGTCCGGCTGAGTTCAGGATGTCCAGCGCGGAGGAAGGACCTTCTGAAGCAAAGCCTCTCTCGAAAGGAGAGCAGGCACAGCACGAGTCATACGGTGCGCTGGGTGCCGCAGATGGTAAGCAAGCCGCCGCGACCTCATGGGAAGCTGAGTATGCAAGTCCCTGGGCGATTTTGTTCAATACCTTGGCATTGGTTGGCTACCAGATTGTGGCCATGGCAATTATTGCTTATCAGGTGTTCTACAGGCGTCACTATGTCATGGCATGCATCCATAACGAACTATGCACTTGGCAGTTGTGGGCTTGTGAATATACAAAAGCCTTTACGAGGTTCTTCCCCTTGATTGCAATCCTTATTTCAATGAGTTTGGCCCGCAGCATGATCCTGGTCCAGCGCATGTATTACGAGCTGTTGCGTCACGGCGCTGTTCTGCAGTTCAGAGAGTACCAGAAAGACAGAGAGCCGGTCTTCTACATCTTGACATTCTGTTTCGTTCAGGGTGCAGCGAACTGGGTGCTGGATGCATTTACTCCAACCGAAAGCACTGATTCGAGGTACTGGACAGAGCCGAGCCCCTACATGAGCGCGACAGAGAAATTGCGGCAAGGGATGATGTACTTGGCCTTACCCATGACGGCCTTTATTTTGTCCATCTATTTCACACATGAGCCGACCTACTACTTGGTGCCACTGAGCCGGTACCTCCATGCAAGCACCCCAGAAGGATGTCAGGCGGCACGTCGAAGCTTGGCCGGCCTGGTTTTGGTGCATGAAGACTTCATTGCACCCGCGGTAAAGCACATTGAGGTGCCAGTCTCCAGTGACCCGGAAGCCGCCGATCGAGCAACCCGTGCTGTTTATCGGGAGCTGATCAAGACAGCACAGGACTTGGAAGGAGGTGGAAGCGTGATGATGGGGAAGAAGCGCATGATCGTCCTGAAGAGCCAGATAACGGACCGCTTTTGGCCGGCCAGATTGCTTTTCAACCTCGAGCTGGCAGACGAAGGCAGCCAGCAGTTCCGGCTTGTGAGCAGATTCTACGATTTCGCCATGGCCTGAGCGGTGCATGCAATCTTTCAGTCCCGACTATGTACGTCCGATCATCTCATTTGCTTGGGAGTCTGCCCAGTGCAGTTGTCCTTCGGTTTTGCTCGATGTCTGCTGCATTCCAGGTCTGGCTGTCTGCTCGAATCCATTCGGAAACCCCATGCATGAGTGCGTCTGCTTCGCATGCGCCAGAATCAGACTGGTATAGGATCTAGAGATATGGAGTCCGTCGGACTGGTGACCCCACACGACCCTGCACACCTCAGGGGAGGGAGGTTCGATGCATGTGTGCACGGGCTTTCTGTCGCTAGCAGTGCTGCTGCTTCATAATACTGTAGGTAGCCAGCTGAATGTCATGACGCCTAGTGGCTACTGAAGGTCTTCGCTCTGCCGTGGTTGCTTTATTATTGTTACTCTCATTATAGTGATCATGATTACAAACTGGTCGTGCAAGTATTTGTCGTAATCATGGTGGTGGCTAGTGGCAGTGGCAAGGTCCATCTTGGTCTCAGTCAGCTGGGCTTCCAAGCATGCCGCTTGCTTCCTGCTCCGCGCGTTAGCTAAGACTGCCAACGACTAGCAAACTAGGCCTTCCACGTCCTCTTTGTGAGTGGAGACTCCAAGGTCTGCATCTTTGCAGCTGCCGTGTGCGCATTCATTTTCATCCAGCATGCCGTGTCTGAGTTCCGCGATATCCAGCGTGGTGAGATCGAGGATAGCGCAGCGCTCGTGGTGGAGGCGGCTCATGCATGCTACGCGCTAATGTACAGCTACAAGATCTGGCATCGAACGTTGATGCATTGACCGTGAGCCCAGCTTGGTGCTCGAAAGAGCTGTGCGAAGCGGAGAGAAAGCGATGCCGGCCGAGGGTGTCCGGCAGCAGAATGCCCCCTACTTGCTTGTTGCAGTTGTTGCATCCAATGCTCATGGGACCGAAAACAGTCGGCAGGATCGCCCGGTCCGATTGGCGTACAGCTCCGGCATCTTGCCTTGCCAGCTAGTAGGCACATTAGTCATGGGGGTAGACACAAGTCAAAGAAGCATCGGTGTAAGTGTATGGTAGTACGTAACTATTGTTGTTATAATTATATGCTATATCAGGATATACCGAATGGGGCATGGCAGAAGCCCCGTGGATCGCTCTTGCTGTCAAGGCAGCATCGCCCTGGGCCTCATGCTGGGCCCCGTGGTCGGTGCAGTTGCCGCCTTGGCTTTTCGAAGCCTTTGGTTGCCTTTTGAGCTGCTGTGATGTGATGATCTCCGAGGGCCTGAGCCACGAGGGCTTTTCAGCAGCCGTACGCGTCTGTGCTGTTCTGAGCACCACGGCTGCAAGATGCAAGTGCTATGTCTGCTATGTGGCTTTTGGGGCTCTCTTCGACCTCTCTTCGACCTGCAGGCCTCGTGAATTGGCTCTTCGTGTTCAGTTCGCTCGCTGAGTCTGAGCGCCTTGCCTTCTTCTGTGTGTGAAGTAGAGTTCTTGATGTCTCAGTGGTCTCTGGGGCTCTGGAGACACGAGGAACGTGCTGCTGAGAAGACAGCCGAAGGAGGAGAGCCGTTCTGCGTCTCCTGGCAAAGACAGATCCGCAAGCGCCAAGAGTTTCCTTGGGGTCCGGTCGCGTCATGGCCCTGTGGCCGTGCCCGTGAGGTTGGAGTCCCTTCCAAGGCTGGTGGAATTGTACTGATCGCGTTCTTTTTTGCAAATTCGGGGGGCTCTTGCTGGTAGAGAAGAGGCTTGCCTGGCCATTGTTCTTCGGCGCCTTCCTGGGCAATGCCGGCATTGCTGCTGCGGAGTCCTGTGGTGCGCTGTTGCACAGCTGCAGAAAAAAAGGAGAGAGCTGGGCTCTTTAGATTAATATACTATGACCATAATACAATTACTAGACTAGTATACTATGACCATAATACAATTGTTGTTTTAAACTGTACTGTAGTTATAATATGCGAAAAATTAGAACTTCAGAGGATCGTCGATTATCCGAATTGGGGCCGAGATTTGGAGGCGCAGCTGTGCTCTGAGGTTTGTCATGGACTCCTACTTCCGGGGCTCCTCCGCTGCAGCGGCGGAAAGCACCCAATTCTTCGCCTACAACATGATGATCTCTGGCGTCCTCGTGATCATGATCACCAACTTTGTCTTCCCCATGCTGATGCAAACTGCTTCACAAAGCCTTTCCTGTTTGCTTCTGCCCAGCAGACAAGAAATCCCATGCGGCAGATGAGGCACACGCTGAGGCAGCAGAAGACGATGTTCTTGGGCCTGGTCCCGAGATCCCAACAGCCAAAGAGTTGCGGCTGGTTGTTTCGGCTACAATATGGCTGCTGCGCTGAGGCGTGTGTCTGCGCATTGTTGGATACGCTGGCCTGGGATTGGCACCTACCAAGCACTTTGGTTGAAATCTGCGTGCCAGTGAGGGTTCGCACTTGCACTTCTCGTGGCATGAGGCCGCTGTAGCCTCGACCGTGAACCCTTAAATCCGACGGCGAGGTGGTGCTTCCTCGCTTCGCAGCTCGCAGTCGTTACCGGCGACAGCCTCGCTGCACCAAACCTCTCTGCTCTACTGACGGAGGTGCACTGCCCCGGAGCCGGAGAGTTGTTGTGGTTAGTTGGATCTTGTCATTGTAGGTTAACTTACCGTTGTGACTGTTTCAGAGTCTGCCGATCTGGCAGGTGGTCGGCAAGTCTTCCTATGGAATCCGAGCGGCAATAAGGGTCGGCAACGCATACTGCACATACATGTCATACATGTACATATGTGCGGTATAATATGCGCATGTAGCCCTGTGGAACATTGCAGAGGAGCCGCGCGTTTATTATGGACTGACTGTACAGTAGACGCAAGATGGGTAGAGGCTTGGTTTCGGAGAGGCTTGTCCGAGGCATCGCCCTGGGTACTTTGTCCACTTTCCAAGCTGCAGCCAGAGTCTTGGACACGCTGCCCTTTGCGACGATGTACGAGAAAATTTCTCATTCAGCTGCTTGCATGCAGGTCACTGCGATCTGGTTTCTGCAGGGTTCGGAAGAGGTGTGAAACTGGCTACCTTGTGTTGAGGTTTCGCCAGGTGGGACTAGGAACACCAACAACCTGCCAGTAGCTGGCTGGAGCTGCAGTAAGAACAAGGGAAGGTGCAACGAACTCCAAACTTTGAAGCCTTGTGGTTGAAACAGTTGTGCCAAAAGAGCTCAGATTACGGGTCCAATTCCGGAAGCTGATACTTGGAAGGGCCTCCTCTGTTGCGTGCTCTTGAATGTGTCTTGCAACATTGAATGTGGGGGCACGCGGGTCGTAAAGCAAATTTTGGTTTGTGTTGCGTTTACCGCACAGCTGCTTCACAAAATCCGTCAAAGCGCCGCGCCACTTTGATGTGTCTGCGTGACACAAAGGGCCAGGCGTTGCTTGTATTTTTCGGGATCGCCAGTATGTTTGCATGGGCGGGCATGAGCTGCCTTGTAGCCGTGAGCAGTGCAGCTCAGGCACCCTTCTTGACCGTCGCTGTTCTCGCTGTGGCTTCTGGCGCTCTTTGGTTTGTCGTCTACTGGCAGATGCAGCTGCAATCTTTCAGAACCTGTGCTCTGGGGCATGAGATGCCCGCCGAGATTCCAACTCGCTCAGGGTATCCAGTGAGCTGAACTCTGAGTGACAAAAGGTCGGTGCTGCCAGTGAAGCCGTGGCAAGGGTTCTTCCAACTTGGGGAGAAGGGCGCCTGACCCCAACACCGACCCAACACCCCAAAAACCGCAAAACCCTAAAGCCTGTCTGAACCCCAGAACCCTAGCAGACTTCGGAAAGTTTCCTGCTCAAGGAGGCCTGCAGGACTTGGCACCGATGCCAGCAGAGACACTCTTGCCGGAGCCTTCTGAGCCCAAGCCCCGAGGGTTTCGGGGCTTTTGGGTGTCTACAGTAGGGCCGTTGGGTTTCGGTTTACCTTGTAGTAGGGTTGTAGGGTAGAGTGCAAAGTTTGAGGGTCTTGTGCAGTAGAAATCAGCATCAGCTGATTTATAGGTGATAGAATGACGGCCGTTTGTCTTCTTCTTGTCGTGGTGTGCGCATGGTCACGTGTAAATGAGTAAAGGATTAATTAGTGGTATCCTGCAATAACACCCTAAAATTTACACTCAGCAGTGCTGTTGATGAGCCTTGTGTACAGTCACCCCTAGTACAATCCCAGCTTCACTGGTACGTAGCAGGATTTCTTGTGGCATACAGGTAGGACCCGCGGATGCCTGCTCTTGGCCAAGCTTCCAAGGCCAGACGAGGCTCCATACGAGGATGCAGAGGCGAGAAGCGCATCTCGCATTAGGTGCGTTTTATCTGGACAGTATTCTAAACTTAGAACCCCTACACCCCTGAACCCTAAACCATGAGAACCTAGAACCCTAAAGCCCCGAACCCCAAACATCCAGATATCCGGTCGTTAGTTGACGCTAACGCAAGGTGCACGGCGAGGCAGATGAAGCAGAGGAGTGCTCAAGCGACCACGGTGGCCATGCGCTCCCGCCGGATTCTCGGAGTTTCTAGGGCCTTGGGTCGTTCTAGCGGAGATGCCTTTCAGGTGTCCTTAGGTTCTTCGAAGTGAGTGCCAGATCATCATGAACATATGCAAAACTGTCACTCTTCTACTACAGATGGCGATGACGTGTCTATGTGTATACACTTTACATGCATATCTACAGATATCATGCTTCTCCGGTGCCGAGGCCCAAAGACTCTTGGAGCTCCGGATCTGACGCCGAGTGGGAGCGAGAAGAAAGTCTTCACTGCATTCTGCCACCTACGGTACGTGATGCCTGGGAGTGTGTTTGGGTTTTGTCGCGGAAGGGGGCAAGGGGTGTTCGGTCGACCTGAAGTGTAGCAGCGTTTCTATTCAACGGTGCCTGAGTATTCCGTACATGCAATGAGCTGCTCAACCTTGCATTGTGCATGTCATGTACATGTGTGCATACACATACATGTGCATACATACAGTACACAAACACACCTATACTGTAGATATACATATATATATATATATGTACAGATGTGTATATGTATATATAGATATGTATATATATGTATATGTATATGTATATGTATATGTGTATGTATATGTATATGTATATGTATATGTGTATAAATATATATATATATATATATATATATATATGTATACACACGTAGACATGTATGCATGTAGAAATATACGCACATTTCTTTGATGTTGGTATACACTCTGTATGTTTGTGTACATACATAAAGGTTTGTGTATACATGTCTGCATATACATATATACATATATACATGGATACATGTTGATACTTATAATTACACACATGTGCATGAAAAATTACATACCTTTATATAGAACATGTACATACATGTACATGTACACACACACATATATATATATATATATATGTAACGCATACACATGTATCCATCTCTAGGTAAACAGAGGGATGTACATGAACAGAAAGATGGATAGATTAATGGACACGCCTTCATGTTTTTGTAGCTGCACATCTCCAGCACGGTTGGGAAGCTTTTGTGTGCACCTGTTACAATGCAACCATGATGTAAACTGCGGTCTTATTTGGGAGGTGTTTCGTATGCTACTACATCACATGAATGACAAATTTTGTGAAGATGCCCTCTCTGTGGAATGGCGGGCTCCAGTCCCTCTCCGCTGCCGAGGGCTCTTGCGAATCCCGGGCAGTGGTGCTGGTTCAACGCAGTCTTGCAAGCGCTTGCAAGTATCAACGATCCCAGGTGGTGGGAAATCTTGCGATCCGTTTTGGAAGAAAGTCACGAAGAGGGGAGTGGTTCCTGCGAAGCGCCCAAAGACTTACCGGCCTGCTTGGCCTCGGTGCTTCTGTACATCAATAACGAGATAGCTCTTGAACCGGACTGCGCTAACAGCGTGGTCTGCAACCTGGCAAAGGCCATTGCGGAGGAGTGTGGCCTGAGCTCTGCCTGTGGTGAACAGCAGGATGCCCACGAGGCCTTCATCCAAATCCTCGAGGCACTACATGCCGGACTTGAGAAGCGGCAGCTGAATGCCATCCTTCTTCTGCAGAGACCCGCCTGGGATCCACTGCATCCTTGGCTGGTTCGGACCGCTTCGTGGGCTCGTGCCACTGCCGCCTGCCGCTGGTTTCAGGATCCTTGGCGGTACTTCAGAAACGCTTGCGCAGCTTGGGGTAGTTGCCCAAGTGCCCACACGCCCACAGGCGTCCATCCGAAGTGTTTTGCCGTCAGGAGCTTTGGCAGGGGACCTTGGAGGAGAGGCGAGTCTGCAGCGCATGTGGGCTCGTGAAGGTGGACGTCTGCTCCTCCAGACAGGCCTTTCGTTGCCTGTCCCTGGACATGCTGCAAGGTGGCCAACTTTCATTTTCCATAGACTTGGCGGGTTTGCTGCACCAGTCCTACGGAGGGAAGGGTGTCGAGGAGATCGAGGGCTTGGTGTGTAGCCGCTGCTCAGCTCGTGCTACCCGTCAGAGATGTTTGCAGGAGAGTCTTCGGGGCTCTTTAGCAGCACAGCAGGCGTACAGGCGTCTGGCGGCCTTTGGAGAGGCCATCCAGGAAGCAGAGCAACTTAGCCTGCTTTGCCCTGCGGGTTCTCCAGAACCCGCGCTATGCCGCACCACGCATTTTCGGTCCTTCAGGATACACAAGGCACCTGCGATTCTGACGCTGCATCTGCGGCGACTGATCCATGGTCCGTGGGGCCTGGTGCGATTGCCAAACCCTGTGCGGTGTCCAGCTGCCATGGTACTGGACAGGGCCAAGGCTTTTCAGAGTGATGCGAGTTATGCTTTAGCCTCCGTGGTCTCGCACCTGGGCACGGCAAACCAGGGGCATTTCATCGCTCACCGAGCCTGGCACCCGCATGCTCAGACTGAGAAAGAAGCTTTGCCAAAATCTTACATCCCCCTCGTCACCTCGGGCAAAGTCGATCTGTGGCCCTTGGCTCAGTGGCACGTGCTAGCAGAGCTCAAGTCTCCAGTGCCTCTGCCCCAGGTGCCCAGTTCTGGCTTCGCTGCGGTTCTTGAGATCCTGGCGGGCAGGCGGCCCTTGACGGCACAGCGAAGCGTTCTCTCTCCGCCCTTTCCCGCAAGGCTGTCCACTGCGCGAGCCGGATGCCTCAGCGCAGCCGAAGGGCCTCGGGCCTCGGGATGCTCGAATTCTCTGAGTGAGGTCCGAGGTGCAGCGGAGGACCTGGGCCGACAGCCCAGCATTCCAGTGCTTTGGCCATTTGGCGTTGGTGCACGAAGCACGACTGCTTCGCCGGCGGCTTTTGCTCAGACAAAGAAGAGGCACCTCAAGGAAAGTTCAAGGCACATGGAAAGATCTTTGTATGTGGCGAAATTGCGAGCCAACATAGAGTCCCGGTGAAGTTCACAATGGGGGCATCCCTGGTGGTGGCATGTCTCTTGCCCGTGCTGCGCTCGGCGGACGTTTGCACAGATGGTGCAGTATGTTCGAGCAGCTGCCTGACCGCACTCAGTTCCAATCTGCATGTGCGTGTGTGTGTGTGTATATATATATATATGTATATACACACACGCATACATCTACATATACATAGACACGCACACAAGCACTCTATACACATAATATACATATAAGTAACTATGGGTACATAGACACAGGTATGAGTTGGGTTGTGCCGTTTGTTCTGGTGCCGAGGCTCCAGGTCTCCGCCGGATGGCGACAGACCCTGCAGCTCCTCGTTTGTGCACTTTGGGGTGTGTGGAATCATGGGGCAGAAGTCTATACCTTGCAGTACCCTTTTCGTAAGCTTAGAGTACCCTTTTGGTAACCTTATACTCGTAGTGCCTTTGTAGCACTGCGCTCGTTTCCAGATTCCACGCTCTGCAGGTGAAGTTCTAGAAGTGCTGGGTCCAGGCGAACCGAGCATCTGGACAAGGACAACTCCCGCAGCCTCCTGCCTTAAAGCCGGAACGTCACTCGATCGGACATTTTGCCGGCAGCACAGGCACCTAGACTGTTCTCGGGGTTAATAGAAACAAGATTCTGTAAGGTGATACGGCAGGCCGTGCAATCTACAGGATGGGATTTGGTCGCCTTCAGCCACCAGGACTGCGTTCAAGCTTGCGCATGGCAAGATGCATTTGATGGGTCTTTACTCGTAGGAGTCATAGTAAGCAAGATACTTATGACCGCGGAGGTTTCCTGACTATATTCCCTAGACTTGGACTGCCGCATCTGCAGGGGCTGTCATCCCGATTTGGCTCATCGTGACTTGGCAGGACAGGAGACCTGTCACTGACTCGATGCTGTTCTAAGAACGAAGGGCGGGCCCCCTATTTTTGTAATTCGGGGCAGCTGGAAGTCCTCGGCAGCCAAGGCGACTCAAGGTCTTCAGTCCGGCCCAGGCCGCTTTGCTCGACGGTCAGACCTCGCGGATGCATACACTCAGGCACCGTGGGTGTGTGTAGTAGAGCGGAGTACAGTGTAGTATAGTATAGTCCTGTATTGTATTGTATTGTATTGTATTGTATTGTATTGTATTGAGTAGTATGGATGTATGTTTCCCAGCCATCCTCATCTTACGCCCGTTTTGCACAGGCACATCGTCGCCAAGCTGGACGATGCGAGGCAGCTCCACGAAGTTGTAGGTAAGAGAGAGAGAGATAGACAACTCCCCACCACAACCCTGACGAAAGAAAGACACACGCGCACAGAGTCCCTTCAATAAGGGCCAAAGCATGGGGAGCCCTCGTGGCCAGGGAGCTTAAGACGCTCGCTATGCCGTGTGGAAGAAGAGACACACACACAGACACAGACACACGCACTCGGGCGCAACGCACACATACAAAATCTTAGCTCAGGCAGAAGATCTACGTCTTTGACAATCAGTTCTTTCAGAATGTCTCGGCCAAGGAGCTGGCACCGATTCCGGACACTTTCCTGCAGTTTCTCTGCAGTTCTGTGGAAGGTGCTTCTGACGACTGTCCCAGTCGTGCGATTCTTTGGGAGTGAGGAATGGCTGAAGATGGACTCAGCGGACAAATTCCTGACTATGGGTGGGCCACTGGCTGGAACACAGTTCCACTCACACGGCCCGGCATTCCTCTTGCTAGCTTCCGGGAAAAAACGCTGCTTGGCTAACAGTTTTTCAACTGTGGGGATACTGCAAGGCGAGGTGGTACCACTTTGGTTGTCATGACATCCTGTGATGACTGAGGTTGGTACATGCATGCGCCAGGGCACTTTCCCAACATGACTGCTCGAGAGCTTCATCGCCCGGTTTCCACGTTTGAAACCGAGATCCTGCCAAACTTGGACTCACCTCCACTAACGTGCGTGCAGAAAGCTGGGGATGCGATCTTCGTGCCAGACGGCTGGGCGCATGCCACAATCAATGTCGAGTCGAAGCGCAGCTGCATGATTACAATAAATCTTTAATATTCTACAACAACTGTAACATACGATGATCTAACATAGTATACCATGACATGCTATAAACATGACGTGTAGTAGTGTAGTACACAAAGAGGTGTTTCTAGCAAAAAGGGGAATCAATAGCACAGAAAGTGATTCGTTCTTGGCACAATCTGATTTATTTCGGATGATTTCCGATTTCTTTTCCTAAAATCAAATTTTCCAGAGAACTGATTTTAGACGCGTTGCGTCGTCCGCCTTGGCCCGGCTGCAAGTGAAGAGGGGTGCTCGGCTGTGTTGCATTCGTGCAGGCGGTGTGGGGGCCAAGGCAGTGAATGGGTCCAGAGCAAGCAAGGGGGGTTAGGTGTAAGAGGGGCGGGTCACTGGAAAAGGGATTAAGATGCCTGGCAACAGAAGATTCCTGTAATTAGGAAACTCTGACCACCTCGGCAGGGGCCGAGGCGAAGATTGGGGCACGGGCACCGGCTGGGAAGCGCTTAGAGTGCTGTCAGCTGTGTATGGAATTCTGAGGTTTGCAGTTGCGACAGGTTTGTCTGACGCTGTTGCATGCTTACTTGTTGGAGGAGTCTCCTGGGCAGCAGAAACAGGTACCACCAACTGTTTGTGCAAGATACTCGGGTATTGGGTGTTAATCTAACAGCGGTTGGGCACGCTGGGTCAGCCCAGAAGCAGATGTTTTACGATCGTGAGCCGATTCGCTGGGCCTCAGGACGCTGGGGGTGGCCTGGCAACGTACAGTTTCTTCAAGCGAAATTTGTGTTCATGGCTTCGACTACTGGTGCCTCTACAAGAACTTAATCACTGCAGAGAGGCGCCTTGGCTGTGCTACTCGTAGGGTAAGGCTCCAACTCAGTTAAGACTTGCAGCTAAGGCTGAGCCCGAAGAAGCAGCCTGCTCGATACAAGGATGCTGCACCTGTGTGAGCCTGCGGCCGCTGTGCCCTGGAGTCTCAGGAGCTTTTCCAGCAGGCGGAAGAAGTCACAGGAGGATTCCCTGTCGGCTTCCTGCGTTCCTGTGCAGCATGAGTTGTGGCAGGCATGCGCCATGAGCGGTGCAACCCTGTTGTGTGTTGCAGCCGAGGACACTTAACACCATACTGGCAAGTGTCTGCAGATGCCAAGGACAGCCAGTGCGTTGCAGCTAGCATTTTTATCATGCTTTCTTGTTTCGTCTTTCTCACGTCGTGCAGCAGCTTCTCGGAGCAGGAGGTGTTCAAGTCCGTTCGCGTGAAAGTGATGAAGTTTCTGAAGGTCCTCTTGCCTCTGAGAGCAGACGAATGTTACATTACATTATCGCTTTTATAGTGAGTTACAGTATGTCACAGTATATTGCAGCACAGCATAACAAGTTACATGATGTTAAAATACAGCATCTTATAGTATACCATCGTATGTTGTAGCTGGTCGAAAATTACAGTATATCATGCCATATGACTTCATGGTACTGTCTCAATATAATAAAGGTTTTCTTATAGCTTCATTCTAGAGGCCGCTCGACCCCTTTGTGAGGCTGCGCAGGCACACAGCGACGAGGCAATCCTGGCCGCGGCACTCCTGAAACGTCTCGCAGACGTTCTCGTCACCGTGAAGAAGGATGTCTTTCAGCGGAAATATTTGGAGGGTTTAGGGTTTACAGGGACGCCTTTCGGTTTGCATGAGAGCTTTCTTTCGTGGATTCAGGTGATTGGCTGCCTTTCAGTGGCATAGGAGGTTTCAATCGCCAGGTGGTTTCGAAAGAGGGTTCTGGGGCTCCTTTGGCGGCTGAGGCGAAGAGAGCCTCGGACCTCCTTGCAGCAGGTTTGCGGAAAGCACCGGAAGCTGGAGTAGGCCAGGTCAAGCGCGGAGTAGCGGCCCACGGTGCGAGAAAAAAACGGTTGCTGGATTCCAGGTGTCTCTTTGGCGCAGCTGTTGGGTAAGCAGCAGCGCTGGAAGGCAGACTGAGTGCGATGTAGCTATGGGCTGGGATTTCGCCACTTTCGCAAAGGAAGCATCGGAGGCGTTGGTGCTGCACCTCAGCCACTTTCCCGATGATGACAGCGCCGTGGCTCCGAAGCAATCAGTCTCAGCAGCTGGCTATGCACCTTGGTAGTCCATGGACGCTTTTGCCAGGCATTGATGCTGGATCAGGCGGGTGGCTTCGGGCTGTGATGTGGCTGTTATTGTACAACATGGTGCACTTGAGGCAAAGACCTTTGCCAGCCAGTCATGAGCGGGATGCGGATGTGTGATGAGCTACGGTGAAGCATGCGTGAAAACAGAGTCGTGCAACCGTAGGCAGAAATATGTACTGTATCGCCTGGCCCCTGGGTTTGGAGTGGCCGATTCTTTGATTGCCCAAGGTGTGTGCAGATGACGACCGTGTCTTCGAAACAAAACTTTGGCAGGCACAAAAGCACAGGCTGCTTAGGGCGCGCAAAGTGTGGGCAAACTCTGGCAGGTACTGAGTTTGCCAGCTGCCTACCTGTTTGTTTACGAGCCATGAGCCAAGAAGGGGTGGTTGAACAACGTTAATCTTTGAGAGATTCATGGCCTCGATAATACATTCACATAGAATGCGATAAGATGCTCTGAAAGAGCTGCGTGCCGAGTCTGAAGGATGAGTTCATGTGTGCCTGTCGATGCTGGTACCTTGCAGCAGGCAAATGAGTCAGGCGTTATGCAGCAAGTGAGTACTGTTTGCCATCTGTCAAAGACAGCTGAACATCATCAAAAGCTATAGTGCATGAGCTTTCAATGCTGTCGCAGGCTAATTAACGCTAGAGGTATGGGCGGTTAGACAGGTGATGTGCAGGGAAGAACCTCCACAACTAGCATCGTCGTGTTGTCAACCGAACTTACAAGTACGGGTTTTCAGGAAGTTATATTCGACAACACTTTGCTGAAAAAAGCCAGGCAAACTTGTTTACATTCGGAAATCTCCTCTTCGTTGGCTGTGTGTGAATATCAAAAACAAGATCCTGCAACCACATTGATATGCCTGGGAGATGGAACTACAGAGCAGCTGATTAGAGTCTTGCGACTTCTTGGCAAAAGTAACAGCCGCTGCACTGCCCAGGCATTGTGCAATCCGAGATGGTTGAAGCTCCTCCGGGCACCGGCCTCACTGGTGCCTTTTGATTGCCAGGCGGCAAGTTGCCAAAGGCACAACCTCATCGAAATGTTTCGACGCAGTGTCACCCCTTCCGCTTTCCCTGGCATTCCCAGCCTGTCGACAGACATCAGTGGACGAGAGTGCAACTTGAAGCTGGACTTGGGGAATGGGAGTGGCTGCTCAGGTAGAGTTTCCAGAGTTGGGCTGTTTGTCACTTCACATCGGCATGTTGTCAACTGAATCTCATGCTATCGAAGTTGCTGTCACATGTGAAATGTAAACTTTGTGCGGCTCTCTACTTGATGCCCTGAGCAAATGCAGAGAGCGCACACTTTAAGCCACCGTCGGCATCAAGTAGTCATGCGTTGGCTTCTTGGAATTCTCTTCGCCTCTGTGGCAGCCCCGCGAGCCTTTCCAAGCACGAAGCCTCAACAGCCCCCTGCGTCTGAAGCCCTTCCACGTTCTGCGGGGCTCCGGACAAGGCCTTGGTGCATCCGTCGGGCGAAGCATCTGCCTAGCCGAAAGGCAGCCAAAAGAGCGGAAAATGTTTGAGTTTGAGACTCTCAGCTGGAACTGTAACTCCGACATTTTTAGTCTGAGTCTTATCGGATTCCTTGATCGAATCCTTGGCTAGCCTTCTATCAGCACAGAGTCACAAGGATCTCTAGCCATGAAGGCTTCAGCAGAAACTTGAAGCTCCAAAGCACTGCAGCTAAGGTGCTAGCTTAAGACACCAACCTTTCATCAGAGTTTTTGTGTTGCAGGGTCCGCTGCCGTGGCGTCCATCCTTCGTTTTTATCAGAACTGTTCTATGAAGGAGGCTGGTAGAGCTCAGGCTTAGGGTTCGCGTTCAAGCCGGAGCCTCTCGTGAAGGATTCGGGGTTTCGCTGGAGTCTCCGATGCTCTTGCAAGATCATCACGAGCTTGACACCGATTCGTACCACTCAGCACTGTGCACTGCTCTGCAAGCCAGGAACCCCCAAGTCCCACCTGATCAGTTTCTTTCACTTTGAGCAGGTAGGACATGGTCCTAGCAGATCTGATCCTATTCTTCTTCATGAACCCTACCTAAACCCTAAACCCTAAACCCTAAACCCTAAACCCTAAACCCTAAACCCTAAACCCTAAACCCTAAACCCCAAACCATATTGGAATGGCCTTCATGCCAATCGGCTTTGGTCGGATGCGGCCCACATGGCGCATGCTCACCGTGCTCATGCTCCTGGCTCGGCTTCGTTGGAAAGAGCTTTAGCCTTCTTTGGGTATACGGTATACAGTATAGTAGATGTGCATATAATGCTATATGTGCATACATACATACGTACATACATTCTATAATGGTATACTGTATTACACCTATAACGAGCCTACAATATACTTATGTGATTTCGGTATGTTTTCGAAGGTCAGTCGACTTGGTCCTCGCCTCCATGGCAGAGGACACCCAGACTGATTCGGTTTGTCCCTTCGGATGTTCTGTAAATGCAAGTATACATGTTTATAGCCACTGTACAAACAAATTATGTATGTCTCTCTCTCATCTATCTTTTTTTGTATGGATGTTCATGTATTTATTTATTTTTTAGTTGTATAAGGATATGGGCCCTTGCAGGAGACCCACCAGGACAGAATGCAGGCGCGCGTCTAAGGAACTGGGTGGTATGGCGCGGTCTGCAGAGCTCGTCAGGTTCCTGGCATGTTGGACTGCGAAGGTGAAGGCTGGCCTCAGGACCGCCGATGTTAAACATCGTAGAACCAGGCGTTGACCCAAACAATTCCGTTTGTCAGGAGTGGCGCACTTTTCGGTTGGCTGCCACGCAGGCTGCGGGCAGTCCAGCACTTCTCGACAGGTCGGAAGCCAAAGCTAGATTAAGTCTGGCCAGGCTGCAGAACGAGGCTTTGCACGATCTGCGGTTCTGGAGCAGATGGCCGCCGAGATTGAGGAGCTCTGTGTGGGTAAAGTTTGCGCAGCCCTGCTGGGAAGCACAATGTGTACCTGGAAGAACAAGTGGGGTCACTGGCTATGCCCTCGGCAGAAGTTCGGCCAACAGCTCAGTAATCGACATCGCCGTCGTTTCCATGTACAGGGTCTGAGACCAAGGAGAGCAGTGCCAGAAGAGTTCGGACCTCAGCTTCGACTTCATCCCCGAACTGCACAGAGAATGCCGCAGCCTCGGCGCCCGGGGCTTCAGGGTTTCCCATTCAGGGTTTGCCAGCGCCGAGCTGTGCGCAGCCCTGAGGCCGCGGCTCCAACAATTTCGAGCGCTTGCCTCAGATGAAATTGCTGCCGGGGCGTCTCCGCAGAGCAGACGGGCTCAGGCGGTACCTGGTCAGGCACTACTTCAGAAATGATGCTTACAAGCCACTGGAGGTGCCCTGGACTCTTGATTGGCCTTCGCCTTCTCCTTGTCTTCCACTGGACACTTTAAACCCTAAACCCTAAACCCTAAACCCTAAACCCTAAACCCCAGGCGCCCTCCGGCTTCTGCTTGTTCGGCTACGCCACGGCGCTGATGGTCCTGGCCTGGCACCGGCTCCCTGAGCAGGCTTCGGGTTTAGGGTTTAGGGCTTCGGGTTGGGGCCCTCTTAGCGTGGTTCCGACTTTGACATGGCTGCCAGTCGAAAAGTCGAAATGTAAGATGTAGTATGTAAGATGTAACATGGTCATGTAATATAATACGCACACAAATACATAATATGTAATCTTATAAGATCTAACATACATATAAGTATATGTATATTATACATATATTTATATGTATGTTAGATCTTATAATCTTCAAGATGTGGTATCTGTTATGACATTATTATGATGCATACACATGTACGATTATGCATCTATATATATATATATACACACACGTTTTGTATGCACACATAGGTAGGTGTGTGTTTGTGTGTGCTCGTATATACATTACTATATAAATTGTATAATCTGTTATGTGTTGTGTTCAGCATTTGCTAAAACTACTACGTAGAATCGACAACACGCGTATATATATATATATATGTTTGTGTATATATTACATATATACATCAACATAAGTCTTGCCATACATAGTATCTATAAACACTGTACAGTGCACAGCTGTTAATATAGCAAACAGTACATTATATGATCATAAATCATATGGAATCTACATAAAGCATGGAGATACGGTGTGTAGAAAATCTTCGACAGTACGTACAACTAATGCAATAAAGTGTAAAAAGAATAAAGGCATAAACGGAATCAGCAAATAAATCCATATGTCTATGTGTATATTCTATACATGTACACACACACACATATATATATATATATATATATATATGTATGTCTGTTATAAGGTACAGCACATATGTACACATGTTTAGACCTGTATCATGTATATACGTATGCAATATATATATATATGTACATATATTTATATATATGTATATATGTGTTTATATGTGTATTATGTAACATGTTATTAACAATCAGTCACGGTCCGGAAGCTCGACATCTGACTCGTCCTCGTTCATGGTTACGTTGGGCCCGGGCCTGAGACAACCTATGAGCCATGGTAGTGCACAGGCCATGCAGATAAATTTGTGCCCATCGTGATGTTGGCTGGCCGCTCTCATATCCCTGACAACGAAAATGCGTTCGTGGCAAATGGTTGCAGATCGAATGGGAAGATTGCTCTGCGGCGTTTTCAGACCATGAAGACATTGATCAAAGACGTACGAGACAACCGAGGGGTTCCTGTCAAAGAAATCCAGGGAACACGGCAAAGTCCACGATGTCGCCAGGGATGTTCAAGCACAGTCTATCCTTTGCAATCTGTAAGATAAAGCATATAACACCCAAGATATAGCAAAACCTAACATGTAGCATGTAGTCTAAACTATTGAGAGTAAGTCTATAACAAAGAGCTCTTATCATGACTAACCAAAAACATATAATATCGTACACACTTTACAATATTTAATCAGAAATGTGGCTCATGATCTATGTGATATATGATATACAGACACAAAAATTTGTATGTTACAGACCTTATGGTCTGTGGCATGTAATGTTCGTATAAGATATGAGACATAAGACAAAAGATAACAGCAGGTTTCGTGTGCTGCAGCCTTTGCAGGGCCGTTTCCAGCTCTGCGGAAGGTACAGCCCGGCTTGCGGTACACTTACATGGCGCGGCACCTCCTAGGCGCGGAGGGGAGGGGGAGCGAGAGCTGGAGGAGGGGGAGGGGTAACGAGAGCCGGGAGTGAGAGAGGCAGAGAGAGAGGCGGAAGAACGAGATGTCCTAGAGTGAGATTCGTCTGAGAGCGTTCGGGGTATTACTTTGAACCGGACTTTTATGTGAAAAGCTGCCTCGAAGGTCATTATCACTCCTTCGACTTTGTGGAGTCTTCCTCTTGGCCGGTTTCTTCTTTTTTGATCTTGGCCACGTCCTCGCAAGAATTGCTGCAGCTGCTGCCGTTTGTCTTAGCATGATGGTCACAGTCGTGATCTTGATGATGATGATGATAATGATGGTGACATCGACAATGGTGATGTTTGGCGGTGGTGGTGGTGGTGGTGGATAACACTTACATGCTTCTTATGGCATTGGCATGACTTTAGGTTTCCATCATTACCAGTACTATCGGTATGATCATTCTCCTACCTCTGGTTGGCTTTGCTACTGCCTTGTCCTCACTGTTGTCACTTTCGTCTGACTGTCCCTGTCGAGTTGTCGGACCAGACTTTGACTGGCACTTAGGTGAACTTCAACTCAGGAGGCAACTGGGTGCCACTGACTGCAGCTCCGGAGTATTCACATCCGGGTCAGTTCGGGCCAGGCTTCTATTACGCACCATGCCCGCAATTCAGTGCGAATGCTGCTGGTTTGCAGTTTCTGTGCAGCCTCGGGGCAGCCTAAACAGACGCATGGTAATCTTAATATCGATAACAGCATCCACCACTAGTAGTAATCATGTTACTGAAGCAACAGGGATAGTTGCAGTACCGTGTGAGAATCATCAAACGTCATCGCGTTGCAATCATGATGGTAATAGCACACATGGCAGCGAAGATAGTTCTAGAAAACTGCGGTACTAGTCCTACACTTTGAGTCGGTAGCACTAGCAATAAACAGAGGTTGTCGGCAGTGACAAGGAAAGAAGACGTTATGACCACCAACACCGATACTACTGGTGAGGCAGACTTCAATTCGAAAGTCTTGCAAAAATGAAGATATGGTTTGCGATGGCAGCACGAATCAGCATGAGTGTGCAGCAAAGACGTTAAGAATGCCAATAGAAGTGATCAAGCCAATCGTAACAGTAGTAATTAATGCAGATTTTCATGAGGAAACGAGCAGATTGTGGTATTAACAGTAGCCGTAGAGCAAATCACACGCATGATGACACCAACCGTAGCTTCAATCCCAGCAGTAGCAACCAATACTGCTGCAAAGCGAGCTGTTTGGGCCGTGAACAGGAGCAAATGATGTGGCGGGGGACTGAAGAGGCAGCGAAAGCTGTGCCTTCGGTCGCTTTTCGGCTGCCTGGGGAGGGCCGGCTGAGGGGCGTCTCGGCTCGTATACATGTCGAACAAGGTTATATTTGCACGATGGATGCTAAACCCCATGTTTCAAACGCAGATTTGTTTCTTGACTGCTTATCCCTTGTCAGGGTCTCCAAGTCGGCCCCACCTGGTGGTCTGGCAGTTCTGCATCCATGCTTCCACAGCCGGCGAGGCCGTGACGATGATCACCCGTCGAGACCCCAGACCTTACGAGCAGTGGTGGTAGTAGTAGTAGTAGCAGCAGCAGCAGGAGTAGTAGTATTAGTAGTAGTAGTAGTAGTAGTAGTAGTTGTTGTTGTTGTAGCAGCAGCAGCAGCAGCAGCAGCAGCAGCAGCAGCAGCAGTAGCAGTAGTAGTAGTAGTAGCAGCCGCAATCAAAACACCCATCTGAACGACATTGTTTAGCTCTTGCAGCTTC